GAGAGAGAGAGAGAGAGAGAGAGAGAGAGAGAGAGAGAGAGAGAGAGAGAGAGAGAGAGAGAGAGAGAGAGAGAGAGAGAGAGAGAGAGAGAGAGAGAGAGAGAGAGAGAGAGAGAGAGAGAGAGAGAGAGAGAGAGAGAGAGAGAGAGAGGAGGGAGGGAGGGAGGGAGGGAGGGAGAGAGAGAGAGAGAGAGAGAGAGGAGAGAGAGAGAGAGAAGAGAAGAGAAGAGGGGAGGTTTATCGCCTTGACCACGGGCGACTCCTCGTCCACAGACCCGAACTCATAGTTGAAGACCGCCTTGCCGATCACGTCGAGGGCGAGCGAGCCGTACCTAAGGCAAGGTGAGGCAAGGTAGACTTCTCCACACGCACAAGGTGGTGGGGCAAGGGCCAGGCTAGCCCCTCGCATCTCCACGCCCGGACACGCGGGCAGGAGCCGGCACGGCATTCAGAGTGCAAGAGGCCCGGTGCCGTGGGTGAGCAGACCTGCACCCCACTCCCTCCCTCCCAGACACACCCCGCACCCCCACCACAGCGTGTGGGCACGTGCTGAATACGCCAGCCTCAGGGCGGGGGGTGCGGTCTCGTGCAGTTGCGAGCACCGCGTGTACTGCGAGGGGTGCGAGTACAGTTGAACGCGGCTGAATACGGTCGAGTACAGCGGAGTGCGTGTCCTCTCGGGCGCTGGTTGGGAGACAAGAACACGTCTCCCTTCTAGCGAGCCGCTCCTCTCCTCCATGTCGAGATACGGGGAGAGATGGGAGAGGCGGGGAGATCTTCCGCTTCTAGCGAGCCGCTCCTCTCCTCCATGTCGAGGACGGTGCCGGTCTGCGACGCCTGGAGCAGCTGCGGGATCAGGTTCGCGTTGGCCTGCCCAAACTCACTCACCATCCGCTCGAGGTAGAGCTTGTGGAAGCCGGGCGCGATCGCGCGCCGCCGCTTCGCCCACGTGACCGGGTCTGCGGGGATCAGACCCTTGCCCATGATGTCCTCGAGGACGAGGGCGAGGGCGCCCTTGTCGTAGTTCTTGCAGTTCTCGCGGAGGACGTGCCTTGCGATGACAGGGTCGCTCGAGACCATGAACGACTTTGGGCCGAAGCACATCTTGTACACCGACCCGTACCGGTCGAAGTACGTCTTTAGCGCGAGGAAGATGGCCTGCGGCCATGGCCACGGTGGGGGCGAGGGTTAGCGCGAGGTAGAGGGCCTGCGGCCATGGCCACGGTGGGGGCGAGGGTGGCGGTGGCGAGGGCGGGGACCCGCGAGGGAGGTGGCGGCGGTGGTGGTGACGGCGGCGGCGGCGGCGGTGGTGCCCGTCTGCGCGGGTCCACCTCCCCATATCTCCCACATCTCCCCATATCTCGAGGCCTTGAAGTCGAGGCCCTCGACATCCGCCGCAGCGAGCGGCGCCTTGTCCGGTGCGGGGATGTTGCCAAAGATCTGCTCGATGTTGACCTTGAAGGTGCGCGCGACGTCGCCCAGCGTGAGCGGCTCGCCCTTCTTCCCGGCGGCAAGGAAGGGCATGCTGTCCCAGAACCAGTCCCAGATGCCGGGAAGCGGCTCGGGCTCCTTCTCCTGGCTCGTCAGGATCTGCCGTGCGAGCGACTTGGACATGGCGATCGGCATGTTGTTGATCCAGTCGGAGAGCGTCGGCTCCTCCGGGATCAGATCGTTGCTCGCAGATTTCTCTCGCTCAGCTGCTGCAGGCGCCGCCGCGATTGCACTCGCTGCGCGCGGCGGCGCGGCCGCCACGCGCTGCACCGCAGGTGCTCCCGCCCGCGACGCGGCCAGCGACGCGGCCAGGCACGGCAGGAGCAGGAAACAGGATATGCTCACGCCTCTCCGCGGAGCCATCTCTGGACGAGCAGCGAGCTCGCGTGCGAAGAGGCCAGCGCGCAGAAGAAATTTTGGCACATTCTTCACGCTTCTTCTTTTTCTCCCTAGGGTGGGCGACGGATAGCGCACCACACACCTCTCCTTAAAATCCCTGTGTGGTGGCGGCGTGCCGTCCTCCCATCCCTCCCTTGGGTTGTCTGTTTTCTTTCTTTCTTTTCTTTCTTTCTTTCTATTTCTTTCTTTATTTTACCTCTTGCAGGTGTGAACACAAAGGAATCGCTGTATCTACTCAGCTGCTCCGCTTACACTTACCGGTGAAGCGTGAACAGCGACACGTTTTTTGAACAGCGACACACGAATCAATCACGTCTCCATGCTGCCGTCAAGTCGGAGCCAGTCTAGTGTGTGTGAATTCAGGACGAGCAGGTGGCGGCGTGCCGTCCACCCCGTCCTCCCATCCATCCGTCCCTCCTTCTCGTTTTTCTTCTTTCTTTAAAAATTCGTCTTGTCCTTTCGCCTGCGGAAACGTTCAGCTCCCCTTAGATGTCCCCTTCGCCACGTCATCACGGATCTCCGATGCATGTCGGCCCCTGCCGCTGCGCCCCGCTCCAGCGTGGGCAAACCTGGGCTGCGGATGTGCGGAGTCACGTGGAAGGTGCAACCACGGCCCCGCCGCTCCTCCTCCCGACGGCCTCGGAGGCTGCGATGAATGCGATCCGCTCCCTAGCGCTTATCCTGACGCCAACGCCGACGTCGTGATGATGTCCGGGATGTGTGGCTCACCGGTGGACGTAGATCCGGAAGTGGCACTTCGGGAACTCGTGAGTGCACTTCGCGCTCGCCACCACACCCCGCCAGGACAGCGTCCCGTGCAGACCAATGGCTGGACAGCCGCGGACGAGTTCGAGCTGATCATGCGGCGCTGGCGTGCAACACTGGACCGCGGCAAAATGGGCGAGATCACCGTAGGCAAACGCAAAACTGACGCGTGCAAGAAGCACTCCCAGCGGCTCAAAAAGTTCCTGCATCTGCGCATGCCGATCCCGTGCGCATTGCAGTGATGGAGTGCACGGACCCCGACGACAGCAAGCGCGCTGCGGCGCTGAAGGCGCGGACGTACCGGCGCGGAGATGTCGTCGACGACTCGGCCGGTACAGACGACGATATCTCGGCTGCTATCAACCAGTACCTCTCAACATGCGACCGCAGCAGGGGCAGCGCCGAGCCGTGGACAGAGCAAGAGGACCGGCAGCTGCTCCATGCCTTCTGGCTCTCGCTGGTCGACCCTACCGCTCCGCTCAGATCGGCAGTCATCGGCTCGGGCCGAGGCGCGCATGCCATCGAGCATCGGCTCAACCAGCTGCGCTCGCGCCTCCCTCCCCACGTCGCTGAGCGGGCGCTGCCATCTCGCCAAAAGCAGCTCCAGACGTCGCGCTGGCTCGAGCTGGCGGAGCCATGCTGCAATCCGCGGCCGAGCGGGCCGCAGCAGAACGATGCCGCCGTGGCCAAGGCGGCGCGCGCTGCGATCGCTGACGACGAGAACCTCGACGACGCCGGCAAGCAGGCGCTGCGGCGCGCCGCTGGCAGAGTCCCGCTCCAGCGGCTCCCGCTCTCTGGGCTCGCCGCGAACCACACGGTGCCGCCGGTGCGCATCGAGGAGGGCTCAGTCGTCTTGCAACTTGCTGACGAGGCTCGGCTGCCAGTCGGTTTCAACTCCGCCTGCCTGGTCATAGGAGCCGGCGTTTAAAGATTGTCTCAAACCCCGCTTTTTCTTCTTCTCTGGCGGCATGAGCGGCGCCGCGAGCCCAACTCTGCTGCCCGACCTGGCGGTGGGCGACCTGGGCACGCTGCGAGCCCTCCTCTCCGGGCGGCGGACGCGCGGCAGGCTCGACGCGCGGCTCGACACCGAGAAGCAAAGACTCACGGCCCAGCTCGACGCGCGGCTTGACACCGAGAAGCGGGACACGCTGCTGACCTGGGCCGCTCGCCACGGGCAAGCCGAGGCGGTGCGGCTGCTGCTCGAGGCCGGCGCGAGCGTCGGAGCGGCTGACGGCGAAGGCGCGTCCGCACTCCTCCTCGCGTGCGAGGTTGGCCGCGTCGAGTGCGCCCAGCTGCTACTCGCCGCCGGTGCGGCCGTCAACCAGGCTGAGGACGGTGGTTGCACGCCGCTCTTCATGGCGTGCGAGCTGGGCCACGTCGACATCGTCCGGCTGCTCCAGCAGGCTGGCGCGGCGGTCAACCACGCCAACAAGAACGGCTCCACGCCGCTCTCTATCGCGTGCCAGATGGGCCACCTCGAGTGCGCTCAAGTGCTCCGGCAGGCTGGCGCGGCGGTCGACCAAGCCGCAAAGGACGGCGCCACACCGCTGATCATGGCGTGCCAGAACGGCCACGTCGAGTGCGCCCAGCTGCTCCTCGAGGCCGGCGCGGCGATCGACCAAGCCCAGGCCCAAGGCGCCACACCGCTGTACATCGCGTGCCATTACGGCCACCTCGAGATCGCCCGGCTGCTGCTCGAGGCTGGCGCGGCAGTCAACCAAGCCAAGGAGGACGGCGCCACGCCGCTGTACGTCGCATGCCAGCAGGGCCACGTCGAGTGCGCCCGGCTGCTCCTCGAGGCTAGCGCGGCGGTCAGCCAAGCCCGCAACGACGGCAATGGCACCACGCCGCTGTACGTGGCGTGCCAGCAGGGCCACCTCGAGTGCGCCCAGCTGCTTCTCGAGGCGGGCGCGGCGGCCAACCAAGCCATGAACAACGGCGCCACGCCGCTGCTCGTTGCGTGCCACAACGGCCACCTCGAGGTCGCCAAGCTCCTCTCCTCCTACGGCGCCTCCCGCGCCGCTACGCCCTTCGGCGCGCCTGAGGAGATCGCGAACCGCAGCGGCCACGCCGACCTCGCCGCCTGGCTGGTCGCCAGCCGCGGCTGGACGCCGCTCCAGCACCTCGAGGCGTGCCCGAGACTAGCGGCTAGAGAAGCGTGAGTGCATTGTCCTCACGCTCACTGTCCCTCTTCCCGCAGGCGCTCACCGTCGACCGGGCGCGGGCGCTGCTGCGCGGCGGCGCGGACTCTTCGGCCGGCGAGCCGTCGGCCCTCGAGCGGGCGCGCGTCCTCTGCTCGTGGAGCGAGTCGGATCCGACCGCTGCGGCCGTCGGCTCCACCGTCGCGATCCACTCTCTCGTCTCGCGGCCGTCGATGAACGGCAAGGTCGGCGTCGTCGTCTCCGCGAGCGCCTCGACGGGACGCTTCGGCGTGCGCGTGGCGGGCGAGGCCAAGGCACTCGCACTGAGGCGCGCTATGGTCTCTCCCCCACTCGCCGGATCCTCTCTTTGGACACGCCCCACGCCTCTGCCCTTACTCAGGCCGGCCAACCTGGAGCCAGCGGCCGCGGCGGTGGAGGCGGGCAGGCTCATCGTCAAGGCGGCGGCGTGGTCGCCGCAGTCGCACGAGCTCTTCCCGGAGCCGGCTCGCAAGTGGGCGGTCGAGGTGATGCGGCTGGGCTACCTGATCGCTTGGGACGAGGAGCGCTTCGACGGCGAGGGGGCGGCGCCGGGGCTGGTGGACCTCTGGCGCAGCTTTGTGCTGCCAAGGGTGGTGGTGCGGGCAGCCGCAGGCGCACCGCGTTCCCCATGATGCATGGATCCCATGTAGCATGAAGCATACAACAGCGCGTCTAGGAAAAGCCCAGTGGGAGACAACGGCCTGGGCACTTGGAACACTTGGAGTGCAGTCATTTGCCTCACATCCAGGGCCGGGGAGCCAAGAAGCGTACCCAGCGGGCCGGATGATCGGTCTCGGGTTGAAATCCCTGTGTGGTGGCGGCGTGCCGTCCTCCCATCCATCCTGCCGGGTCATTTTTTCTTTCTTTTCATTGGCACTAGATCGCCCCCCCCGGGGGGCACAGAGAAGACACAACGGACTGGCAGCTCAGGTCTGGAGAGGCTGCATGCTGCTCCTACAACCACGCCCACTCCAGCCACTCCTGCTCGCGCCCAGCCGCGCTACTGCAGTGCGGTGCGGCGTCGTCTCCTCCGACGTCGCCGATCTTGCCGCCGATGCCGCTGTGGTCGCTGCTGACTTGCTCCGCGGCGGCGCCACGCTCGCCGCAGCTACGGCGGGCACCGCCGTTCTCGCGCTGGTCGCTTCGCTCGCGGTGTGGCTCTGGCAGCAGCAGTACGTGCTATCGCTGCGCGCGCGGCGCGCCGGCCGCCGCGCGACAAAGAGCAAGAGCGTGGAAGTAACTAGCGCCGCGTACTTGCCTCCACGTGAGCTGTGGACGCGCAGGGAGCTCGCGTGCTTCGATGGCAGCGACGGCGATGACGGCCCAATCCTGCTCGCGGCCGACGGGCGCGTGTTCAACGTCGCGCCGGCGCGCCGCTTATACGGGCCGGGCGGCGAGTACCACCTTTTGGTCGCTGGCGGCGACGCCACCCGGTACCTCGCGCGGAACAGTGTCGAGCCGGAATCGGAGGAGAGCGCGCGCCGCCCACTCAACGTGGCGGAGCGTGCGGCGCTCGGCGCGTGGCTATTCTCATTCAGCCAAAAGTACGACGAGGTTGGCAGGGTCGCCAGACCGGAGGAGGAGGTGGTGCTGGGGCGGCGCGAGGCTTACCTCGACAACCTCGAGGCGCTGTCGTCAGACATGGAGCGGGAGCGGCTGACGGCAGCATGGATTCGAGATGAGAAGCGCGATTAGAGACCTGGGACGTGGTGGATGAGGAGAGGTAGCAGAGGTACGAACGATTTTTCTTGCGCCTCTAAGCTCTATCAGAATACAGAAAGATGAAAGTGCGCGACGCACCACACGTCAGAGGACAGAGCGTACAGCGCCGACACGCGACAGCGGTTTCAACGGCTCACGGCACACGGGTCAGGTGGGCGGGGAACCCGCAATTTGCAGTTGTTTTTTAAGCGTCGGTCACCGCATGAGTTGTTTCGACATCAATGTAGTCCAGCGTCCTGCTCGGGCGCAGTTCGGGCGTAAACCGCCCCAGCGAACGATGCGGTATTTTGCACCGCAGCATCGGGCTCCACCGCGAGACACTGTGGAGTTCACACGTAAGGTTGCGATAACCCGCCACCCACAAAGCGCCTGCTCTACTATCCCGGACCACGCACCACGCACCCACTCCACTTTCCACACGGATCATGCCCGTGATATAGCACCATCCACTGCCGCCGTCCTGGTTTTGAACGTGGCAGCTAGACCTAAGAACTCGGTAGTTGTGTCCCCCTGAGTGAGGAGCAGGCGAGAGAGAGCGTTTTGTGGTGTTGGTGTACGCAATAACGCGGGCCCGCGGGACAGGGTGGTTGTTCTCTCTATCTCCTCTTCTAGCTCTTAGCATGAGCTGCGCCCTGTGTCCGACCCCTTTTGCGCAGCAACACCTTAAACTTTTAGGCCCTCCAAATTCGGGTCGGAGGACGGAGCGTAGCTAGCGGAGTGGGCCGCCCCGAGTTTGAAAGGGGCGACGGACGCTTGCGTCCTAGGTCCTAGCCTCCGAAAACGCCTCCCCGGCGCAGAGGGGCCCCCACCGCTCCACGCCGCGCCGAAATACTTTTTTCTTGTGGCCGCGGCGCGAGAAGAATTCGGGGTGACCACCCTGCCGCAAAAGCCGTCGCTCTCGATCGACGGCCGACCGATATCGACAACTTCCCGTTGTGATGTCCATTCGCCTCCTCCTCCCGCTCCTCTTCGGCACGGCGCGCGCCTGCAGCAACATCATCGTCACTGGCGGCGCCTCCGCCGATGGCAACCCGATGGTGGGCTATAACGCCGACAGCGCGGCGCTGCACGGCGCAGTCTCGCACTGGCCGCACGGACACCACGCAAAGGGCGCTGTGCGCGAGGTGTTCTCCTGGGACTTGGGCATCAAGCTGGGCGAGATACCCGAGGCGGCCGAGACGTACAACGTCATCGGCAACGCAAACTGCCAGGGGCTCGTAATCGGAGAGACCACGCTGGGCGGGCTGGCGGAGCTGTCCAACGTGGGCAAGGACTGGCGGAACGGCACGATTCTCGACTACGGGCAGCTAATCTACATCACGCTGCAGCGCGCGGCCACTGCCCGCGAGGCGATCAAGGTGATGCACGCGCTCACCGCAGCGTACGGCTACGCGAGTGACATGGAGGGCTTCTCTCTCTCCGACGCGACGACCGGCGAGGCGTGGTACATGGAGCTGATCGGCAAGGGCGGGTTTGAGAAGGGCGCACTCTGGGTGGCGCTGCGCGTGCCGGAGGGGCACATCATGGCGCACGCCAACCAGGCGCGCATCACGCGGTTCCTGCCGTGCGACGACGAGAAGGCCTGCCTGATGGCGCCGGACGTCGTCAGCTTTGCCATCGCGCACGGCTACTTCCACGGCGAGGCGGACGACCCCTCCTTCTCCTTCTCGGACGTTTACGACCCGGTCACGTTTGAGGGCGCACGCTTCTGCGAGGCGCGCGTGTGGTCCGTCTTCAGCGCCGTGGCCGACCCGGCGAGCTTCGACGCGGCCGCGCACCTCGACTACGCTCAGGGGCGGAACCTGACGAACCGCATGCCCCTCTTTGTCAAGCCAAAGGCCAAGCTGACGCGCGCGCAGGTGCTGGCATCGCCGCACTAGCTCGCCTCGCCGCCTCTCTCATTGCACTACTCGACCGAAAGTGCAGCTGCGCTGCAGCGCGCGCGCGCAACCCAGCCCATAGTTTGTAAGGGGGGGGGGGGGGGGGAGGAGGAGGAGGAGGAGGAGAGGAGAGGAGAGGAGACACGGACACCGGCCGCCCGGCCGCCCGATCCGCGCAGCTAATCCACCACAGCTGATCCACGACGCGGCTGTTCGTGGGCGCCGCTGCAGGTTCACAGCCTCCTCTCGCTGCACTACGAGGACTCGTGGCTCTCCCCCTACGCCGATGTGGGGGCGGGCGCAGAGCACTCCCCGTACCGCTGGAACGGGCTGACGTGGGAGTACGAGGGGAAGACGTGCGTCGACGAGATGTGGGGAGATGTGGGGAGATGGGGAGATGTGGGGAGATGTGGGGAGATGTGGGGAGACACCCCCGCCTCGCCACACCTCGATCTGCGCGCCCAGGTACGTCAACGAGCGGGTGGTCGGCACGCAGTACACGGCGTGGCACTGGGTCGCGCAGCTGCGCCGCGGCGTGCCAAAGCCGATGGGCGCGCTGCAGTGGTGGGGTGCCGACGACCAAACTTGCAATCTGCTGCAACCTCCCCGCAATCTCGCGCAATCTCGCCGTGTGTAGGTGGGGCGCCGACGACCACACATGGGCTCCAAAGATCCCGCTGCACGGCGGCGCGTCGGCGGTGCACCCTTCGTGTACGACGACGCAGACTGCACGAGACATGGGGAGATATGGGGAGATATGGGAAGATAGGTGCACAGTTCGTACGACGACGCAGACTGCACGGCGCGGGCCGCCTGCCGCCGTGCCCACGGGCTGCAAGGCAACGTGCGCGAGTTCTCGCTGCATTCGGCGTGGTGGCTCGCGAACTTGGTGTCGCAGACACGCCCCGCCTCCCAGACACGCCTCCGATGCCCGATGCACTCCTCCCCTCCCCAGACACGCCTCCGATGCACTTCCTCCCCTCCAGCCCGCGGCTGCGGGTCCTCTCTCTCTTCTCACGCGGGCGCGCGCTGTACAGGTGGCTGACCAGGTCAAGCTCAGCCGGCGACGCGCGTCTTCAGCCTCGAGTCTGGCCGACTCTCTGCATGGACCCGTCCCCCTCCATAGGTCTATGCCAAGGCAGACCGCGCGGCGCCGCTCGTCCGGAAGGCGCGCGAGATGAGCCGAGATTGGCCGAGATTGGCCGAGATTGGCCGAGATTGGCCGAGATTGGAAGACGTTTTGTCCGCAAGGCACGCGCGGAGCTGGACGCCGCGCTCACCGCGGCGCTGGTGGACGCCGACGACAAGGCGGCTAGGGCGTTCGCGGCGGGCGACGCGAAGGGCGCGCTTGCCACTCTCACGGACCACGCCGTGGCCGCGGGCGCCGCGGCAACGGCGAGGTGGACCGCGCTGTGGCAGGAGCTGCTCGTCGCCTTTGTCGACGGACATGTCCGTGACACGTCCAGGACATGTCCGAGACATGTCCACAGGAGCTGCTCGTCTCCTTTATCGACGGGCGCGCGACTGGCCCTCAGCCCAACCCTGGGGGTTTCCACCATGGAAGCCCCCCCCCCCCCCCCCCCACGCGCCGCCCTCGTCGTCGCCTCGGCCGCCGCCGCCCTCACACCCGCCGCCGCTGCCGCCGCCCTCGTCGCCGCCCTCGCCGCCGCCCGCCTTCCCCGCGGCGTCTTCCACGCAGCACAGACCCGATGCCCCGCCCTCTCCACACCCTCTAGCACTTACGCAGGGAGCGGCTCGGGACTCTGCCCCGCGACGGCCTTCGAAGTCGCGCCTTCCCCCGCCTCGGGCAGGCGCGTGACGGCGGCCAACCCCAAGGAGCCCGTGTGCGAGTGCACAAAGGAGAGCGCCACGTTCAGCGAGGCATGGAAGGCCAAGGCGCCGGCCGCGCCGTCGGAAGCGCCTCCCACTTTTGTTCTGGCGGGCGCGTCTCCCACATGGCGCGTCTCCCACATGCGTCTGTAGGTTGTGGCCGATACGGGCGATCACTACCTCCAGCCGCCCGCCCCGCCCCCGGGGGCGCTTGCCGGCCAACCCACGTGGTTCCACGCCAAGCCGACGCGCTCAAAGCTGAGCATCCCTGGAGTGGCGCACTGACCGCCGCACGAGAGAAGCGTCACTAAGAGGGGAGGAGAGAAAGCAGCCGCAAAACGCCGTGTGCGGTAAGCACGTGACCACGTTTGTGCGGGGCAGTGTTTGCTTAGAGGCAGGTAGGTAGGTAGAAAGGTGAAGAACAGCCAGGCTCGGACTGGACACCAACAAGAGGCACAAAACGATCACAAACCATAATAAAAGGCTCCGCATGGGTACAATGGAGGAAATTTAAGTTTCCACAGTACCACATAGCGTAGTATCTGCTCAGCAAGCACTAGGCACCACGCTGTCGTCAAACCCAGGAGGGAGGCCGAGAGCGTAGAGAGGCCCCTCCGAGCAAGGCTCCTCTGCGGGCCCGGAACTCGGTCCGCAGCTACGCCCTTCGATAGAGCCCTCCCCCTCCCTCTCCACGGACAGAGCGACAGCACAGGGCACCTCGGGAGCGCCCTCGCTCCATGCATCTCCGTATCTCGCGCGCAGCCTCGCTCGCTCTTTCTCTCGCAGCCGCTCGTGCCTCTCTTCGAGCTGTAGCCGAATCAGCTCGTCCTCGCGCTCGCGCTTTCGCTTCCGCGCATCCGCCGCAGCCTGCTTCCGCTTCTGGTCCTGCTCCTGCTTCCGCTTCTCCTCGGCGATCTCTGCTTTTCGTCTCTGCAGCTCCCGCTGCGACTGGCGCGCCAGCTCCGCTCTCCGCGCAGCAATGTAGTTGGCAACCGCAGCCACTCCAGCATCTGCGCTCGCTGGAGGCAGCTCATGCTGCACGTCGTCGCACCGGCAGCACTCGAGCGAGCAGCGGCGCAGAGGAGGGCGCGGCTCGGGCGGCACTCGCGCGGCTCTCGCACGGAAAGAATGACGCGCGTATGCTCCGGGATCGTCGGGCGTCGCGAGTCTCCCTTGGCAATCACACTGCATGCCGCGCAACGCCGCCGAGTAGAAGCGCTGCATCTCATCTTTCGAGTGGTAGCGCGGCTCGATTGGTGGGTATGGTTGCCTCGACCGCCATCAGCTCCGACCGCCCCGCCCACCAGTCGTCTCCGACCCTGCGACTACCCTCACCTCTTCCCGCAGGGCACCACCTTCACCGACTCGCACTTCAACTTTGGCGGTCAACATCTTGTCGCCGCCATCAACCTGCTGCCCAGCATACTCGCAACCGACATCGACCGATACCGTCAAGTACTAGTCCGCGCCACCAACCTACCCATCAAGATGCAGCCTCGACTCCTCCTGCTCGCCATCTCTTGCCGACCGACTTGCCGCTTCGGCCATTTCCTGCGCTACCTCCCCCCTTCCATCATCTCCGCCTTCGTAGACGACTTACGCCGCGAAATCCTCCACGCCTTTGAACGGACACTCGCCCTGCCAGCCGGCACCGTCGCCTCCTCCCCTCCCGAGATGGCCTCCCACTTCCAATTCTTCCAGGCGCTATCTGCCGGCGGCATCGGATTCGACGACCCCGCCCGCGTCTCGCCCGCCGCCTACCTCGCCTCGTTGGCCTCCACGCTACCCATCCACAGGCGAGACCCAGCCGTCGCCACCTTCGTCAAGGACCCATCGAATTGGGCGACCTGCCCGAGCCTCATCCTCCGCGACGCCTACAACGTTTTCCACCGCGTCACATCCACCGCCGCATATTCCGCCCTCCCCCTCGCCGACTGCCCCATCGCCGCCCGCCCCACGCTTCGAGCCACGCTCAACGACGCAAGCGGTTCCCCGTCCCTCCATCGCCTCCACCTCCTCTCCGGCATGCGATCGCAGAGCCGCTTCAGCCGACTGCTCGCCACCGAGGAACTCAACACTGCCCTCGCCCACCCCTCCCTCCACCCACTCGCCTTCGCCCGCCTCCGCCACGCCGCCGTGCCCCCTTCCCACCTCCTCTTCACGATGTGTTCCGTGTCCGACGCGCACGCCCTCTCCGACGCCGAGACCACCTACCTCTACTTGTACCGGCTCGGCGTGCCGTTTCCGTCGCTCGCCACCTCCGCCGCCCTCCCCTTTGCATCCTGCAACAAGAAGTGCACACACAATCCGCCGCACAGACCTTTCCCGAACGCAAAGCTGCTGTGCCTCCACTCTCTCGGCCACCACTACACGATGTGCGGCGTCGGCGGCCACAGCATCCGCCTCCACGATCTGATTGTCCGCCTGATCGCCGCCACCGCCATGCGAGAGACCGGGTGCGCCGCTCACCTCGAGAAGGGCCTCGGCTCCTCCACCGCCGCCGGCAAGAAAATCGACGCCGTGCTGTCGTTTGCAAACCGAACCGTCTACGCGGGCTCCGCCGCGACCGCCGTCATGACCGTCGACGTTTCCCGCCTCTGCCCCCTCCTGCCGAGCCACCTGCAGACCGCCGCGAAAGACGCCGCTGCCACCATCGACGAGAGAGCCCGGGAGAAGAACGCGAAACACTTGGCCGGCTGCATCGGCCTGGGACGCGCCTTCCTCCCTATCGTCGTCACCACCCTCGGCGGCATCGGCCCGCCCGCCTCCCGAGATTTCCTCTCCTCCCTGTTCGCCAACTCAATGGCCGCCGAGCGCGCCGCGGGCGGCTCCGGCCAGCTCACCGCCAGACGCCGCTCCGACTTCTTCCGCTCCATCATGGTGCTGCTAGTGCGAAAGCAACGCCTCGCCACTGCCGATCTCGCCACCCCCCTTGCTAGGCCGGCGCCACCGCCCCCGCCCAAGCCCTCCTCCGGCAGGAAGCGCAAAGCCAACGCCAATGTCGCCGCCCAGCACGCCGCCTCCCTATAGCCGACTCGCCACCCTCCGCCGCCGCCCTCGCCGCCACCAAGCCCGCCATCACCCTCCCCGCCGCCACTGTCGCTGCCGCCGCCCTCACCACCACCGCCTCGCCGTCGCCGCCCTCGCCACCGCCGCCCTCGACGCCGCCACCCTCGCCGCCACCGCCCACGCCATCGTCGCCCTTGCCACCACCACCCAGCCCACCGCCTCCCTCACCACCGTCACCCTCACCCCTACCTCGCCGCTACCTCGCCCGCTCGCGCCCGACTTTCTACCTCCTCGTGATCCAACCCGCCACCCCCCTCGCCTCGTCACCCTCCCGCCGCCTCGCCGCTACCTCGCCCGCTCGCGCCCGACTTCCTACCTCCTCGTGATCCAACCCGCCACCCCCCTCGCCTCGTCACCCTCCCGCCGCCTCGCCGCCACCCCGCCCGCCCGCGCCCGACTTTCTACCTCCTCGTGATCCAACCCGCCACCCCCCTCGCCCGTCACCCTCCCGCCGCCTCGCCGCCACCCCGCCCGCCCGCGCCCGACTTTCTTGTACCTCCTCGTGATCCGAACCGCCGCCACCCTCGCCTCACCCTCCCGCCCGAAATGCTCCGCCGTTCCTTCGCCGCTGTGGTCTGCCGTCGTGCCACCGTTCCTTACCGTGCCGCTCCTTCCTCCGTGCCACCGAGGCTTCGACCACCGAGGCTTCGGCCACCGAGGCTTCTGCCACCGAGGCTTCGGCCACCGAGGCTTCGGCCAACGAGGCTTCGGCCAACGATATTATTGCTGCCGCCCCCCCTGCCGTCCGTTACCGCCGTGCCGCCGTACCGCCGCTCCTACAGTGCCGCGCCCGCCGCGCCGTATGTCCCGCCGTCCGATGTCCTGCCTGCCGCCTGCTGCCGCCGCGCCGCCTTACCGCCGACCCTTATCGTGCCGCGCCGCCTTTACACACACACCTTACTTTCTGCTCGACCGAGTTTGCGCTGATGAGCGAACCGAGCCGCCGGGTGCCCCGCAGCGGCCTCGCTGGGCCAGAACATCGGCCCCGAGTGCTCCGCAGCAGCCTTGCTGGGCCAGAACGTCGGCCCGCGAGGTGGGGTGCTAGTCTGGGACCCATACGTGGCAGTTCCCTTGCTCCAAGCGCTTGCGCTTCGGCGGTAGTGATCTGATCACCCGAATACCACGTTCGGATCGCTCCTCATCGCAAACCCTGTCAGCAGTTCACCTACGGGTATGTTCGTAAGAGCTACATACACTGAAAAAGAATTCTGCAGCCGCTCTGAGCTCCTCTCGGCGACATCAAGTAGGCATGCATGTCGTGCGAGCGTACGAGCGCATGCACCAGCGCATGCTGAGGCGGGCCAACGATAACGATTCACGGTTCGTCGACGACCCCGCGATGGTCATGGCGGTCATGGCATCACAGGGTCAGGATCTGTTCAGTATGACAGTCAAAGCAGAGAACGACGTCACCTTCACGACCTTTTGCAGCATCAATCCTATGGAACTCGCCGCCATCGCGAGCCGCGCGAGGATGAGCGGGGGTAGCATGACCGTCGCGAGGAACACAGTGCGCATCGGTCCACTCCGCTTTGAACTCGACGCCGAAGCGTCCTACAAGGAACGGCGCGTCTTCCACGCCGCCCTTGAACACGGGTTCGCTTTCTCACACCAGCTCCACTGGGCGTACAACTTCCTAAATTCGCAGTACGTGTGCTTCGCCAACAACCTCCGGGAAGACGACTTGTTGCCTGCCGCCGACAACATGCACATGCAGAGGGCGGCGGCGGAGGCGCTGCGGAATGCCAATGCGCTGCTGGCGGAGGAGGAGGCGGAGAAGAAGGAGAAGGAGAAGGAGAAGGAGAAGAAGAAGGGCAAGAAGAAGAAGGGGAAGGGTGGCAGAGGCGGCGCTGGGCCGTCTCAAGAGCCCGAGGATGAGGCAGCGCTGGTGGCGGCGGAGGAGGCGGAGTTGGCGGCGGCGCTCAAGGAGAGCGCGAGGCTGGTGGAGAAGAGGGGGGCGCCTGACGAGCAAGCATTGTCCTCTTTGCCTCCAGAGAGGCCGCTATCGGTAGAAGAGGAGGAGCCGCCGGCCGACTTCATCTGCCCGATCACGACCGAGGTCATGAGAAACCCGGTAATGGCGGCGGACGGGCATGCTTACGAGCGGTCGGCGATCGAGCGCTGGCTCGCGACCAAGTCGACGAGCCCGATGACGGGCGAGGAGCTCCAGCACACTTGCCTCGCCGATCATCACATGCTCCGCCGAATGATTCGAGAGTGGGGAGAGACGCGCTCGGCTCGGCACGATCGTAGTTTAATAAAATGACTTTTAGCTCTTTGCCCGCAATGCTGAATGCACCCGCCACCCCTTCCCGGGTTCCCAGACCACCCAAACACGTCTAAGACCCCACCGCTGTGTCCAAAATAGGGGGTGGGAGTTTGGGGGGGGGGGGGGCACATCAAGCGACGTCCTCAACCTTTGAGATGATACGCTTCACAAACATCTGAATTGGGTCTGTCGGATGCCACTTGAGACCACGTCTCAGTTACGGAATCAACATGCCTGACCAATTCGTCAATTTCTGCAGGCGTGCTGTTGTCTTCTTCTTTGTTGCAGCTGCCTTCTCGAGCGAGTGTCACTCCTCCCATCGTCATCGACACTGCTGCTCTCGTCGTCATCGGGGCTGCTATCTTCGTCGCCGTCTTCGACTGCCCCCTCGACCATGCCATGCTTGATGCTTGCCCTTGCATGAGCTACCTTTTCTTCTAAGTCACTTAAGTCAAAAAACGTACGCGCTTGGTACTTCAGTGCCGCCAGCAAAATGCAATCTGTGATGTCGCCGCCTCTCGCATACATTTTGGCTGTTTGCATACACTCTTGCTTGAATACCTGCAATAGGGCAAATGCTGTCACCTCTGTTTCGTTTAAGGAATCAGCTTCTTCGAGATTCCTTGGCTTGCAGAGCGCGCGGTGATCATACACGACTCTCGTTAACGTTATACACCGTGCGGTCCGCGTTTTCACGTACACACAGAACTCAACTCTTTCCAGATCTCGCGCTGGACCACGTGCACGTCGGTCGGGACGCCCAGCATGTCGAGGCTGGCGCTGCACGTTTGCCGGGAGCTGCCCCAACACAATGTAGTCGATAGAATTCACGGCGGCGGGGGTTGAAACCAAAGGCCCAGCAAAAAGAAAAAGAGTTTGTGGGGGGTTGAAAGCTAGCTCGGCGACATCACGGCGCAGTTCATCTATCCCTTTGATAGCCTCGACATAGCCTCGACAATGCCTGTTCTCAACACCTTCCGCACGGAAAACACGACCGTATTCACGGGTGCGCAGATCGTTGCGGCACCGCCAAAACAGGAGGCAAAATCCGTCCTCACTGCGGCCAAACCCTTCCTCACCGGCTCGATCGCGGGCTGCTTTTCGACGTGCTGCATTCGTGCGTGCCGCCCAAAAAGCACTCCCACATCCCTCGTGCCGCCCAGAAGCACATTGCCTCGTGTCGCCCAGAAGCGCTCCCACATTGCCTCGGTAGGAGCACAACCCACGTCACGCCTCCACCCCTCCGCCCCACGCAGAGCCGATGGACATGATCAAGGTGCGGATTCAGCTGAATGCGGCCTCCGGCGCCGCCGCCTCGCCCGTCGGCATCGCCTCCAAGATGATCGCCGAGGAGGGCGTCGCCTCGCTCTACGCAGGCCTATCTGCTGGGCTCACCCGCCAAGTCGTCTACACCGGCAGCAGGAGCGCTTCACCCGCCCCACCCCCCGCCTCTCCTCCTCCTCCGCCCCACCCCGGCCCTCCCCGCCTCTCCTCTCCTCCTCCTCCGCCCCACCTCCACCTCCCGCCTCTCCTCGCCTCCTCCGCCCCACCCCTCCACCTCCCGCCTCATTCCTCTCCCGCCTCTCCTTTCCTATCCTCCGCCCCACCGTGCCGGCCGCCCCGCCCCGCCCCGCCCCCGGGCAGACAGGCTCGGCTTGTATGACGTCTTTACCGACAAGGCCAAGGAAGCAAACGGCGGCAAGCCGTTGCCGCTCCACCAGACGGCGCCCGCATCTCCCACATCTCCCCACATCTCCCCACATCTACCCACATCTCCCATGGTCTCCCCGTATCTCCACTAGCGCTGTTCGCCTAGAAATCGGAAGACGTATCTTCTTGTACTCCAGCTGGGTCCCGAGAGGACGCGAACTCCGCCGCATTCGACCGCATCCCGCTGTCTTCATCCCGCTGTCTTCACAGCACTCGTGCCCCTCGTCTCCACGCGGTGCTGTGAGGACAGGCGCTGTGCGCGCTCGCGGCGGGCGGCATCGCTGCGGTGGTGGGCAACCCAGCCGACCTCTCCCTCGTGCGCATGCAGGCGGCGCCCCGTCGCACATTCACACTCACACACACGCACACGCACGCACACACACACACACACACACACACACACACACACACACACACACACACACACACACACACACACACGCCCTCTCTTAAACGCTCAACTACCCCCCCCCCCCCCCAAAGGCCGACTCGATGCTCCCGCCCGCCGAGCGGCGCGGCTACTCGTCGGTGGTCTCAAGGAACTGTGAACAGCGTCTCTTCACACCTGCAGCTGTGAACAGGCGCGGCTACTCGTCGGTGGTCTCAAGGAACTGTGAACAGCGTCTCTTCACACCTGCAGCTGTGAACAGGCGCGGCTACTCGTCGGTGGTCTCAAGGAACTGTGAACAGCGTCTCTTCACACCTGCAGCTGTGAACAGGCGCGGCTACTCGTCGGTGGTCTCTGCGCTGCTGTCGATCGTGAAGCACGAGGGCCCGCTCGGCCTTCTCAAAGGTTCCACATCTCCCCGCATCTCCCCATATCTCCCCAGATCTCAAGTCCGCCTAGCACCGAGAGACGCGCATTCGGCTGCCGTCGGCAGCAGTCAGCCGCATATCCCGCCCGTACTCGTAGCCGTGGTGAAGTGACGGCGGTGCGCTGAGTAGTACTCTACACCCGAGGCCGCACTCTCGCCCCCGCGCTGGCGGGAGCACCACGTAGCAGCGAGTCATGAACGAAGCCGTTGAGGCGGTGCTCCCTCCCACGGCGCAGGAGCTGGCCCGACGGCGACGCGGGCGATGGGCCTCAACCTCGGGATGCTGGGCGGCAACACGGAGGCGAAGAAGCACCTCAAGCAGGCGGAGATAGGCGGAGAGAGAGGAGATGTAGAAGCACCTCCTCCCCTCCGCCCCTCTCCCCTCCCCTCTCCCCTCCCTTCCCCTCCCCTCCCCTCTCCCCTCCTCGCCTCCCCTGCCCCCGCCTCGCCTCTCCCCTCCCCTCTCTTCGTTTCCCCTCCTCTCCTCTCCCCCCCCCTCCCCGCCCCTCTCCCCTCCCCTCTCTCCCCCCCTCCCCGCCCGGCCGAGGCCCGATTCGCATCAGCCACCGACGAGCAGCTCTCACAAGGAACGGCACTGTTCTCAGGCGGGGCTCGAGGGCAACGCGCTCATCTTCTCCGCCTCCGCCATCGCCGGCTTCTTTGCGAGCGCCTTCTCGCTCCCCTTCGACTACGTCAAGACGCAGATCCAAAAGCAAAAGCCGGACGCCGCCGGCCGGCTGCAGTACGCGTCGTCTGCCGACTGCGCGCTGCAGACGCTGCGCGCGGGCGGGCCGCTCCGCTTCTACGCCGGCTTCCCAACCTACTACTTCCGCATCGCGCCGCACGCGATGATCACGCTCGTCGCGGCGGACAAGGTGAAGCAGGCGTGGAAGCGGATGGGCGTCTGAGCGCCTCCCCGTCCGTCCGCCCCCCTCCCCCCCCCCCTCCTCCACCCCGCCCACTTGTACGTGCGAGTGTGTGGAGCGGAGCGGTTCGTCCCGCGCGCTGGCCGCTTGGCGGCGTGCGCGTGGCGCCGTCCTCGTACGAGACGCTCTCGGGGATGGCGGTCATGTGAGCAGGAACAGGATACTGTCCAACAACGATAATGTATAAAAGAAACGGCGCGCGGTTTCGGCAAAACGGCATTCCGCTCGGCCTCGGGTTTGCTGGTTGCTGCTTCTTCGTTATCTCGCTCCTCTGCCCTTGCCCTTGCCCTGGTCTTGTCGTTATTTCGTACCGACTGGGTGGCGATCGAGGCTGCCTTCCCCACTACCTCAGTTCCCTCGTCACCTCTCCTGCTCTGGGGTGGCGCGGGGGCCCCCGGCCCACACCGTGCGCCGCGCACAGCAGACAGCAGTGCGGAAACGGGGCTCCGGCTCTATTAGTCTCTATTAGCACCAACTTCCCGATTAAGTACGGTTAAGTAGAGGGAAGATTTGGAGAGATCTCGAGGAGTACATACAGATAGACCCTCCAACCATCAGAAAACTCCGACCTGATCGGTCGTACTGACCGCCGACAGATCACTCCACAGCAGACAGGCCGACGTCTGCACGCGGCCGGCCGGGCGAGAGGCTTGACACGATCCGACCCTGCGACCCTGACGCTGCTGCTCTAGCTATCAGCCATGCACTGCTGACTGCTGCCACAATGTGCGACCTGTGCTGGCCCACTTGGCGGCCTTCCCGGTCAGTGGTGAGGCGCAGTTCAGAGCTGTCGATGGCGCGATGCCGCACTGGTCCCACATCGGTGACACGAGACCACCACGTTTGCCGGTCCAAGAGAGAGGCACCGGCGCTGTCCTGAGAAGGTGCGTGGTCCCTCTTGACTGCCCATGCGCGCGAGGCTGTGTAGGCATAGCCTCGAGAGTGCCAGCAGCCAATCCGAGGCGACGCGCATTGCGTCAGAAGCGTGCACACGATGGAAGGACACCTTCCTACTGGCCGTACGATCAGGTCGTCACTGAATGCTTGATACTAAGGCCGCGAGCTATGCAGGTGATCAATTGTGCATCAGGGCACGGTCAGCAGCGCCGACAGGCTGTCGCAAGGCGTGATAGCATGGCCGCAGGTACGCCGAATTCCCATGAAAACATAAAGAAGTAAAAAATCGCCAACCCCCCCCCCCCCCAAAAAAATCGGCGCCTGCGGCGGGCCATGGGACCCCATCGCCCCCCCCGCATGGACACCCTCTGGGGCCCCCGCGCCGGCCCAGAGCTCTCCTGCTGGAGCTAGCTCCTCTCTCTTTCTTTCGGGTATGGTCTATGGAGTCTGTGAGTGCGGGCAGCGAGCAGGCAATCACGGGCGCTATTTTGTCTTACTCCTCTTCGGCGAGCGCTCCAAATCTAGACCCCATCGCCTTTAAGGAGGGTGCCCTGGTGCAGTTGATTCTTCTCACAACGCATGGTACCCAACGCGGGAAAAGCATATCCACCTCGAGAACCTCGAGAACAACGCATGGCCCCCTCCGCCCCTCCCGGGCCCCCCGCCCGGGGGGCGCCCCCCGGGCCCTTTGGGCCTGCAGCGGTTGAGCGAAAAGCCATGGGGTTGGTGCGATGGCTTTGGCGACACAAGCGCTCTGTCGCCGTCGTCTCTGTGGCGGCTGCGGGCGCGTACACCGCCTACCGACTGTGGCGGCGCGGCCGCAGCCTCGAAGAGCTCCTGCTCGAGCAGCTTCTCGGGGCCGCCGCGGCAGACGGCGGCGGCGGCGGCGCCGCTGCTACGCGGCGCAGTGAGGAGCGGCTGCACGAGCACTTCCGCGTGACGCAGCGCGAATGCGATGCGCTACTCGAGCGGCATGTGGCGGCGCTGCGCGCGCAGGTCCAGAGCCAACTCGACCCGAAGCCAGTCCGCGCCCGGATGCGCGCCGAGGGGAGCGAGGCAGACGGCAGCGGCGGGTGGCGCGAGCTCAAGGTGCTCGGCTTCGCGCGGGCGGTGGGGTCAGTGTACGTGCTCGCCCTCCTCGCGCTCCGCCTGCGCGTCCGCCTCAACATCGTCGCGCGCCACTACCTCGCCGAGCGGGAAGCGAGCGGAGGCGTGCTTGCCGGGCCCGAGAAAAGACATGCTCGAGAATTAGTTAGGGAACAGCGGGGCCGGCCCCGAGAGCACGGGCGCCTCGGGCGTCGCCCGACCGTTGCGCGGGCGCGCTAGGCGAGCCGCTGAGCAGGGCGGCCAAGCTCGCCTTCCTCTCCGCTGACCATCTCTGCTCCTCCGGCTTTGCGCCGCTGCTGGCGCGGGTCAGGCGGGCCGCTGAGGCGCGTGTGGCGGATTTGCCTCTCGACGCGGCGTTGTCGGCAGACGAGCTCTCCGCCATCGTCGCGGCGGTACGCGACGAGCTCGAGGGGACGCACGACAGCGAAGACACGCCGCCCGTGCACGCCTTCCTGCAAGAGCCGCGAGATCTGGGGAGATCGAGATCTGGGGAGATCGCGCACGCGTTCCTGCAAGAGCCGCGACTCGACGACCCTGCAGCCCCCACCGGCGGAGGCGGAGGCGGAGGCGGAGGCGGAGGCGGAGGCGGAGGCGGAGGCGACCCGCAGCTAGCGACGCTCGCTTCCGAGTCGCGGTCGGCGTGCAGCGGCGAGCAGTTCCACGCCGCCCTGTCCGACATGCTCGCCGCCCTAGAAGCGGAAGATCTCCCCGTATCTCCCCGTATCTCCCCGTATCTCCCCGTATCTCCCCGTATCTGTCTGGACATTACTCACTCTGCGTCTGTCGCTCGTCTTCACACAGTGCTCTGCGTGCTCTGCACGGTACCGTCCTCCCGCCCTGATGTCGGCGTATTCAGCACGTAGGCTCGACGCCGCCTTCGCCGCCCTCGACGGGCACTTCCGCGCCCTTGTCGCGCCGCCCGCGCCGCCGCCGGACAGAGCCCACGACGACGGCGGCAACGGCGGCGGAAACAACGGCGGCGGAAACGGAAAGGGCGCCGCGCCGCCGGCGGTGCCGCTGGCGACGCTGATTCCAAAGCTGATCAAGCTGCCGGCGTGGGTCTTGCCCGACCCCGCAGGGCAGCCGCCCGCCGCCACGCCAAACGGCTCCGCGCAGCAGGCGACCGCACCAAACGGCGGCGGCCCTACCGGCGGCGGCCCTGGTGGCGGCGGCGCGACCTTGGGTGAGGTGTCCAGGTCTAGAAGCAGAAGATCGTGCTCTTGTCTCCCAGCTAGCGCTCGACAGGACCGCCGTATTCCGCTGTCTTCGCTGTCTTCGCACCCCTCGTCTTCACGCGGTGCTCTTACACTGCACAATGCTGTATTCCCGCCCCCAGGTTGGCGCATTCACGCAAAAGACAACCCCGGGCCCAGATCACACGCCTCGGACAGTCGAGAACGGACAGGCAGACAGAGATCGCGACTAGTCAGACATGCAACGTTTTTCACCACGTAGGCCGCCATGTCCCTCGTCTCGGTTCCGTCGCTCGGCGAGCTCTGCTGGAGCTTGTTCCTCGCTGCGCCTCCCGACCGCCCCGCGCAACCCGCGCCTCCTCCCCACCGGGTAGAGGCCGAGTCGCGGCCAGGCCCAAGGCTGGACCCGGCGCTCGAGGCGGCGCTGGATGCCGAGCTCGCCGCGGAGCTCGGCTGACAGCTCGCATGTAATCCCTAGAGTGCATGCCTCTCTCCGGTAGCGAACCGTATTTTCCCCTCACACAAAGTTCTACGATCTCCGCTTCCGTATGTGTCCGATTGGACCGATTGCGAGCAGAGTAGCGCTCGCTACACGCTACAACCTACATCTTGATATAGGACTATGAGCGGCGGCGCTCACAATCGTACCAAAGATCTAAGGATTGCGGAGGCGCAGAGCGACAGGATCGGTCCAGCGCCTCGCCGGGGAGCCGCAGGCACCCTCTCTCCACGGACGGGGCCACGGAAGCCGCTCAATCGGGCGCAGGACGCCTCGGTGTGGGCGGCACGGGCGGGACGCCGCGTCAATCGTATTGAGGGTACACGAGTATCCACCACACCACGAGTCCGGCTCGCACGAGCTTCGTGCACAAAGCCGCCGTGGCGATCATGTAGATAGAGGGAGCGGACCGTGAGTTGAGGAAATCGGAGGACGCGACCCACCTCGCCACAGACGGTCCCGCGCCTCGCCGCTATGACGGCCGCACGACCGCAGCTCGTGTGCGTGCGGCCGTCTTTGTCCGGAGTGAATACTCCAACGCGCTCGTCGGTGGCGGCTTCCTCCAACCTGCGCCGCGCTCGGCGAACCTCGACAGCGCTTTCGGTGGCATGCAGCTCTTTGCGACAGAAGCCTGGAGAGCAGCTCCTCTGCTGCTCACACACTCTGCACAGTTGACACAGCCTACTGTGCGGCTGTCACAGCTGTGACAGCGATGGGCTCGCCCTCACTGGCCCTCAGTCACTTGTGCTGCGGCTTGTGTGAGCGACACTGCTCGGCGACTGCCGGCACACTGTGAGACCGTGGGTGTGAGGTAAAACCACGCTACCAGCGCTTGGTCACATCGGCCCTGAGGTCAGATCCTTCTACTCTGTTGATGACAAGACTTGTCTACTCGCTGGAGCCGAGCAGGAGGGCCCGGCGCACAACCCCTGGTCAACTCAGGGTCCACACCCCGTAAGGACGGCCAGAGACCGAGCAACTTCAAGGGAATAGACCAACTGAAGATGTGCGGCTCGGCCCCAAACAGAAAGCCCAAGCCGATGGTTGGCATCGCACAGAACAGCAGGAACACGACACCAAGAAGCACAAAGACCCAGTGGTCTCAAGTTGATACGTGACCAAAGCCGGAGCCGGTTCCTCGGAAAGGTTGGAAGGCGGCGACGACGTCCGACGGCAAAGCCAACAGCTGTCAGGCACACGACGATTGGGCTGAGCAGGGCCGTGACGAAGACAGCGACGCGAAGTATATCCGCTACGATGGGCTTCGTCAGGGTCGCGTCTCCCGAGGAGGAAACGAACAAGATGGTTGGAGCGGCGAACGTCCAAAACAAGAGGGGCAGGCCCGCGACGGCGTGTATTGCCTTCGCCCAAGGATCCGGGATATCTTGCCCGACGATCGCCGCGATCCGACCCGAAGCGTTTGGCGACTCCGCCACAGCCAAGTAAGTGAGCGCTCCAAAGGCAATGAGGAAGCATAGCAGGCTGCTGACGCCGATCACATCCTCCCCTCGTGTGAGGCCCAGCCAGTCCGGAGCAAGTGCGAACCACGGAGGGGGCGACGGCGGCGAGGGCGGAGACGGCGGCGGCGGCGGCGAAGGCGGCGAGGGCGGAGACGGTGGCGGCGAGGGCGGCGAGGGCGGCGAAGGCGGCGAGCGCGGCGGCGGCGGCGGCGATGGCGGCGGCGGCGGCGATGGCGGCGGCGGCGGCGGCGATGGCGGCGGCGGCGGCGATGGCGGCGGCGGCGGCGGCGATGGCGGCGGCGGCCGCGATGGCGGCGGCGATGGCGATGGCGGTTGCGGTGGCAATGGCGGTGGCCGCGGTGGTGATGGCAACGGCAGCCCCGAGCTGAAAGCCCAGCCGACCCTGTTCGTCGTGATGAACTGCATACCAGCGTCCATGCTCGGCGTGTAGCCTTCTCCCTGCGCAAAGTACTTATAGTAGCAGGACCACCACTGATTGCCATCCGCGTTGCTTTGGAAGGCGTCGACAAGCAAGTCCCATCCGTCGTACGCCTGTCCGTTCCCGTTCCACCGGCCGACAAAATCCTTTGTCAGGTCGCGGTCCTGCTGCCCACTGTCTCCACCACAGGCGCAGAGCCATCCTCTGGCCAACGAGTTGGGAGGGCGGTGCCATCTGCATACTCGACCATCCCTGGAGTACGAGCAAAAGTAGAGGGTGCCCGCTTCCAGCAAGGTGGGCGACGCAGAGGATGCCGCACCATTGACGCCGAGCGCCCGCCACTCCAGCCCGTCGGCGCACGGGTCGACGGTACCAGCGTGGATGGTGTATTGATTGCGATTAAACCACAACTGCATCCCGGCGGTGATTGTTCGGCTGGCCGTCAGGAACTGGCTCCCCCCATTCAAGATCCCCCGTCACCTCTGCTGGTCCTCGTGCAGCCAAGCAGGCTGGTGGCGGAAGTGGCGGCGGTGGGGCAGGCGCCTCGCCAGGAAGGTACGGAGGCAGCAAAGGTGGCTCTGGCGGCAGCGGCAGCGGCTCCGACGGCGGCGGCGATGGCGGCGGCGGCGGCGAGGGCGGCGGCGGCGGCGGCGAAGGCGAAGGCGGCGGAGACGGTGGCGGCGAGGGCGGCGAGGGCGGCGAAGGCGGCGAGCGCGGTGGCGGCGGCGGCGATGGCGGCGGCGGCGGCGAAGGCGGCGAGCGCGGCGGCGGCGGCGGCGATGGCGGCGGCGGCGGCGATGGCGGCGGCGGCGGCGGCGATGGCGGCGGCGGCGGCGATGGCGGCGCCGGCGGCGGCGATGGCGGCGGCGGCGGCGATGGCGGCGGCGGCGGCGGCGATGGCGGCGGCGGTGGTGAGGGTGGTAGTCGTGAGGTTATGGCGTACAGGCGCTGCGCGGCGGCGATGGCGGCGTCGTCCGAGTCCTCGACGACGAGAGCGACCATCGCCTCGGTGGCGCCGGCGGTGCACATCTGCAGCGCATGCACGCATCCGCCGCTCGAGCAGGCGGCCCACGCGCGCTGCGGCCGGACCACAAAGGGCGTGCCGACGGCAGGGAAGCCGAGGGCATACGTGAGCGTGTTGCGCTCGCCACTGGCGGGCGCGTAATGGACCGAGAGCCGGCCCTTGACCTCACTCGAGAGGGTGGCGTCGAGCCCTGCGCCCGTGCGGTACGAGACCCACACGGCCATGTTCGATCCCGCCACGGGGAGGCGCACGCCGTATGCGCGGCCGGCCGCGAGCGCGCCGCCCGCGGAGCCGGAGGCAAAGGGGTCGACGCGAAGGTCGGAGATGGCGACGATGGCCGCGCCGCCCCAGTCGCGCGTGTGCGTGTTGCGTTCGAGCCAGCCGAGCGTGATCAGGTTGGGCATCGCGAAGCCCGGGCAGTTGGTGCGCGCGCTCGAGCCCATCACCGCCGAGTAGTCGCCGTACTCGTAGAGCGCGTTGCCGTCGACGTCCATCAGCCCCGAGTGGTGCAGCCCGAGCGCCGAGGTTATGGCCGAGCTCGTGCACGCGGATGCCTCCCACGTGTACCGCCCGCCGAGCTGCAAGAAATACGGGACACCGGACTGAAAAAAAGTACTCTCGCCAGGACCCAGGTAAGATAAGGTCTCCACACACACAAAGTCGAAAGTGGTGGGGCAAGGGGGGGCAACCATCGCATCTCCACGCCCGGACACCGACACGGGCAGGAGCGCCCCACGGCATTCAAAGTGCAAGGCCCAGTGCACGTGGGTGAGCAGACATGCTCCTGCGCCCCCACTCCCTCCCTCCCAGACACAACCCGCACACAATAACTCCCCGCCCGCGCCGCGCTGAGTGAGGCAGCGCGCGTGCGCACAAGCAATGTTGAGTCTCAGCGGCCGTGGCCTCTCAGCAGGAGCAACTCTCTAGGAGCGCTCCTGGGCCGCATCCGCCGCCATCCTGGCTGCAACCGCCCTGGCCATTGACGCGGCCGCAGCGGCACCCCTCGCCTCCGCAGCGGCCGCCGCCTCCTCGAGCGCTGTCTCGCTTCCCTCCAGCGCCGTCTCGCTCCCCTCCAGCGCCGACCCGGTCCCGCTCAGCGCCGCCGCCGCCGCCTCTAGCGACGCCTTGATCTTCTCAAACGCAGCCTTGGCCTCTCCATGCGCCGCACTGGCCTCCGCATGCGCCGCCCTGGCCTCCGCCCTCGCCACCTCGGCGTCCGCCAGCGCCGCCACGGCAGCCACCTCCTCCGCCTTGTCCGCCTCCGCCTCCTCCTCCGCCTCGTCCGCCGCAGCGTCCAAGCGCACCGCATCGGCCACCTCTGCCGACGCCGCCGCCTGGCTCTCTGCCGTGATGCCGAACCGGATCCTCTCCTCGTGACACTTCTCGAGAAGCCTCATCATTCTCTCCTCCTCGGCCTTCTTTGCGGCCTCGGCTGCGGTTGCCTCCAACGGCGCCTCGGTGCCCTCCTCCGCCTCCTGCGACGGCCCCGCCGCGCCCGCCCCTCCACCCTTCTTCTTCTTCTTGCCCTTCTTGCCCTTGGCGCGCTTCTCCGCCTCGACCTCCGCCAGCAGCTCGTCGGCGTGCCGCGCCGCCTCCTTCTCCTCCGCCGCCCTCTGCGCCTCCCTCTCTGCCGCGCCCGCAGCCCTCGCCGCCTCCTTCGCCGCCTTCTCTGCCGCCGCCTTGGCCGTCGCATGCTCCTTGAGGGCGCGCACGCACTCGGCGTGGCCCTCCTGCTTGGCGTACTGCAGCGCGGTCTTGCCCTCCGTAGTGCACAGCGTCGAATCTGCGCCCGCCCGCAGCAATCGAAGCACCACGGCGGGATGGCCGTAGTAGGCGGCGAAAATCAGGGCGGTGTCGCCGTCGTTGGCCTGCAGGTCGATCTCCGCGCCGTGCCGGATCAGCGTGTCGACAACCCGCTCTCGGCCTTTGTAGGCGGCGCTCATCAGCGCAGTGACGCCGTTGTTGTTCTTCTGATCGATCTCCGCGCCGTGCCGCAAAGCCAGCTCGACCAGCTTCTCGCGGCCGTTCGCGGCGGCGAGGCTCAGCGCGGTGCCGCCGTTGCTGTGCTGCAACGAGACATCTGCACCGCGCCGCAGAAGCGCCTCGGCCAGCCCCTCGGGGCCATTGGCCATTGCGAGCATCAGCAGCGTCATGCCGCTCGCACGAGAGCCGTCACCAAAGATGTACTCGAACGTCGCGTCGACCCGCCCGCCGCCGTCGAACCACGCCAGCACCGCCGCCTCTTCGCCTCGCTCAGCCGCAAGCAAGACCTCCTCTGGCGCTTCTCCGCTGCCCGGCGCGGCCTCCACGCCGCCCTCGCCGATCAAAGCAGTGGTCACGGCACTGGCGCCCGCCTCCGCCTCGCCTGCGGGTGCGCCGCCCGCCCCTGCGCCACCCCCCGCCTCGGCCGACGGCGCCTCGCTGCGAGCTGCCGTCACCTCCCTGAGATACGTCCTGACGGCCTCGACGCACTCGGTGTGGCCCTCCTCCTTGGCAATCTGCAGCGCTGTCTCACCGTCCACGTTGCGCAGCTTCATGTCTGCGCCCGCCCGCAGCAAGCGAAGCACGACGGCGGGATGGCCGAAGTGGGCGGCCCGCATCAGCGCGGTACCGCCGTCGTTGGCCTGCAGGTCGATCTCCGCGCCGTGCCAGATCAGCGTGTCGACCACCCGCTCTCGGCCTTTGTAGGCGGCGCTCATCAGCGCTGTGCTGCCACATTCGCTTCCCTGATCGACCTCCGCGCCGTGCTGCAATGCCAGCTCGACCAGGTTCTCGCGGCCGTTCGCGGCGGCGAGAGTCAGCGCGGTGCCGCCGTTGCTCTTCTGCAACGACACGTCCGCGCCGCGCCGCAGAAGCGCCTCGGCCAGCTCCGCGTGGCCATTGCCCATCGCGACCATCAGCAGCGTCATTCCGCTCTCACGGGAGCCGCAAGCAAAGGTGTGCTCGAACCTCTCGTCGACCCGCCCGCCGCCGTCGAGCCACGCCAGCACCGGCGACTCGTCTCCTCGCTCCGCCGCCAGCACGACCTCCTTTGGCACCGCCTCGCTGCCCGGCGCGGCCTCCACGCCGCCCTCGCCGATCAAAGCAGAGGCCGCGGCACTGGCGCCCGCCGCCGCCTCGCCTGCGGGTGCGCCGCCCGCCCCTGCGCCACCCCCCGCCTCGGCCGACGGCGCCTCGCTGCGAGCTGCCGTCACCTCCCCGAGATACGTCCTGAAGGCCTCGACGCACTCGGTGTGGCCCTCCTCCTTGGCAATCTGCAGCGCTGTCTCACCGTCCACGTTGCGCAGCTTCATGTCTGCGCCCGCCCGCAGCAAGCGAAGCACGACGGCGGGATGGTTGTGGATAGCGGCGAAAATCAGGGCGGTGTTGCCGTCGTTGTCCCGCAGGTTGATCTCCGCGCCGTGCCGGACCAGCGTGTCGACCACCCGCTCGTGGCCTTGGTAGACGGCGGTCATCAGCGCAGTGCAGCCAACCTTGTTTCCCTGATCGATCTCCGCGCCGTGCCGCAACGCCAGCTCGACCAGCTTCTCGTGGCCGTTCGCGGCGGCGAGACCCAGCGCGGTGCCACCGTCGCTCTTCTGCAACGACACGTCCGCACCGCGCCGAAGAAGCGCCTCGGCCAGCTCCGCGTGGCCATCGACCATTGCGAGCATTAGCAGCGTCATGCCGCTCGCGCGAGAGCCGTCACCAAAGGTGTACTCGAACGTCTCGTCCACCCACCCGCCGCCGTCGAGCCACGCCAGCACCGCTCCCGCTTGGCCATCCGTGGCGGCCTCCCGAATGCTTGCGGGGATATCGCCGCCGCGCTCCGTCGACGGAGGAGGCGGCGTGCGGCGCGCGGCGCTGGCAAAAACGGACATTGGTGAACAAAGAAAAACCCGACATATGCGCTCACCACTCCATTTACCCTTTGTCCCTGATCGTCCTTCCAAAATCCTGTTTGAGTTCAAACACAGTCAGACCAACGACGCATAAGGAAAGAAAGAAAGAACAAAGCGTGAAACACCCAAAACCCAAAAGGACGTCAGCAGACATGCTCCTGCGCCCCATGGGCGCGTCATACCTGGACCTGGGACGCCTGGGCCCTTCTTCTTTATGGCGAGCTGCGTCGGACTCAACTGGCTGCTCTGGCTCTCGACGTTGGGAATCTTGGCCTCGCGCTGGCAAGCAGGCGAGCAGCCTGCATCGCCGCCGTCGACGAAGAAGAAGTAGCGAAGCCGCGCGCTTCCCCGATGCTACTTTACCACTCCACGGCTCTTCCCTGCTCCGTGATCTAGATCGCGCTGCCGTCAGTATTTTTTGCGGTGTGGTTGTGGGGTCTGCGTTTCAAGCTTTTTCCATGCGGGCACTGATTTGTTCTATCTCCCCTAACGCGCTACGCGCCTACGCGCTACGGCGTATTCCGCCTAGAGGCTGTTCTTCACCTTCCTACATACATACAGAGGCTACGGAGAGTAACGCGGGGCGGTGTGCTCGTGTGGATTCGACTCTCGTGTCAGAGACTGTGTGCCCCCCCGATCGTGCCCACCTCTACTGAGTATGAGGACGACGGCACCTTTTGAGGGTCCGCCGCCTCCTGCCTGTGCCTCTTTTGGTCCTGTGAGAGAGAGCGTTTGTTGGTTCGCTCCAATCTGCTGCAAAAGGCGTCACTAACGAACGAATCTACGAATCTAAGAACCGCCGGAGCCTGAAAAGAATTCCCCGAAAAGAAAAAACGGTGCCAGGGTGACTCAGCTCTCCGCTCCGCGCGTGCGTGCGCGCGTGCTGAGTTGTGCGGCCCGCTCCAGTGCACGCTCTCACACCGGCCATGACACGAAACGCACTCGCGATGACGATCGCTGCACTCGCAACCGTTTCCGCGGCGTTCGAGTGTGACGGCCGAGCGCTCCCGGGTGCCTACCTCAATGACGACTATTGCGACTGTGCTGATGGCAGCGACGAGGCAGCGACAGGGGCTTGCGCCGACACAATTTATGTGTGCCGGAACCTGCCGCACAAGCCCAAGCAGATTTTTTCCTCCCGGGTGAACGACGGGGTGTGCGACTGCTGCGACGGCTCCGACGAGGCCAACTCCACCGACTGCCCCAACGGCTGCATCGCCCTCGCGACGGAAGCGTTTGGCGCCCTCTCGCGCGGATGCCTTCGGCGCGCTGAGCTAGCCATCGCTGCAGCCAAGGCGGCGAGCAGCGACGCAGAGCGGCTGTCGGCGGCGCGCGCGCAGCTCGCGACGGCAACGCCAACGATCGACGCTCTGCACGACGCCAAGGCGGCGGCGGAAGCGGACGAGGCTTCAAAGCGCGACGGGAGGGCTGCCAGGCTTGCAGCGGGGGAGGTGGAGACGTCTCTGGGCGTGGAGCGGCTCGACGCGGGGATGACGCTGCGCGCGCTCGTGCGAGTCGCGCTGTGGGGGGGCGTCGAGGGTGTGTGCACCCTAGATGCAGGGGAAAGTATTCCCTGCATTCCTACCAGCGCTCGAGAGGACACGTGCTCAACAGTACTCGGCTGCGTTCAGCTGCAGTCACTGTGCCCATGGACCTCTCATTCACGCGCTGCTCCAGAACACGGGGCACCCCGAGGCCCCGCGTTCACGCCCGATGCCGCGCTGGGCATTTTGACGCTGGTGTATTCTGAGGCAGTATTCTGAGGCAGGCTCGAGCGCTGCGCTGCGATCCTGCGCCACCTTTGGTGTGTGCTCACGCCCCGACACGGGCGGCGTCACGACGGTAGGCGTGGACCGGATGTACGATTTGCTCGTGGAGCGGCCTGGGCTCGAGGAGGCGGCGGAGGAGGTGGACTCTGCGGACTTGCTTGAGGCGGCGTCTAGATGCATGTCTCACCCGAGATCCGGTCGAGATCCGGTCGAGATCCGGTCGAGACCAGGTCGAGAACAGGTCGAGATCGCCCTGGTCGAAGCGTATGGCCGCGCCACTATACCACAACCTACACAGTACCCGAACCCATACTCGGGTGGCCGCTGCGCACCCACACACGCGGAGCAGAGTTAGCGGAGAGGCCGACCCCGCGCCCTGACGGGGCGGCAGCTGCGCGGGCAGGTCGCGATGAAAGCGCGCGACGAGGCGGCGGCGGAGAAGGGGCAGTCGGCGGGCGGCGGCGGCGGCGGCGGAGTCTGCGACGCCGCAGGGGCATGTGGTCATGCCCGTGAACATGAGGCCGCGCTTCTGCAGCTGCTCGAGCCGTTGCCGGTCGGCGCCGTGGGGTGGCGGCGGCGGCGGCCCGTTTCCCGTTCTCTGAGGGGCGCACGCCTTTGTTTAGGAGGACGGCGGCGCCTTGAGAGCCGTACTACGAGCACTCCACGCGGGGCTTGCGCCGGCGCGACGTCTTTCTTTGTGTGGGCATTTCTTTTCTTTTTTCTGTAGGTGCTCCACGCGGAGCTTGGCGCCGGCGCGACGTCGGCGCTCGCGCAGGCGGCGCGAGAGCTGCTGGCAGAGACTGAGAGTCCGCTCGACGACGCGGCGGTGCGTCGCTTGCCTCCGAGATCACTCGAGATGACTACCCGAGATCACTCGAGATCTACCCGAGAGGACCCGAGAGGACCCGAGAGGACCCGAGAGATGACCCGAGACTAGGTCGCCGCGGCGCTCGAGCTGCTCGAGCCGTTTCGGCACGACGAGGCGGAGGCGGCGCGGGCAGCGCACAAGGCCGCATCACAGCCGTAGCCACCAATCTGTAGCCACCGCAGCCGTAGCCACCACATAGCTGTAGCCACCGCAGCCGTAGCCACCGCAGCCGTAGCCACCAATCTGTAGCCACCGCAGCCGTAGCCACTGCAGCCGTAGCCACCAATCTGTAGCCACCGCAGCCGTAGCCACTGCAGCCGTAGCCACCAATCTGTAGCCACCGCAGCCGTAGCCACCGCAGCCGTAGCCACCAATCTGTAGCCACCGCAGCCGTAGCCACCGCAGCCGTAGCCACCAATCTGTAGCCACCGCAGCCGTAGCCACCGCAGCCGTAGCCACCAATCTGTAGCCACCGCAGCCGTAGCCACCGCTCGCTGGTGGCACCGCCCTCACCTCCTCTCCTCACGCTCCTCGCTGCGCTTCCCTCCTCGCTGCGCGCCCCCCCTCCCCACACCTGCTCCTCCTCACGTTTCCCCCGCCCCCTCCTAGGCTGCCGTGGAGGCCGTGCAAGAGGCGAGCGAGGCGGAGCGGCAGCTGGCGCCCAAGGAGGCGATTGCAGCATCTGGCGGGTGCGGCGGCAGCCTCGAGCTACGTGCGGCGCTCGAGATTGCCCGAGATCAGCCGAGGCTGCCCGAGGCTAGGTACGGCGCCGGGCTTGAGTGGCGGCAGCTGCACGGGCGATGCTTCGAGG